AAATGGAGGCCATATTTATTGAGTAACTTATCAAGTAAGTGAGGAGCTAATATTCAAACCCAGAGATCAAGCTCTTATCCTCTAAGCAGAAAATATCTGCCCTCCTTCCTCTTAATACCTTTCATTCTACTAAATACGAAGTAAAAGGAAAAGTGAAAGCCATTTGTTTGCAGGGACGCTCTTTTAAATCTGTGTGTATGTGTGTATGCTATGTAGAAAACATACACAATTTTATAACTAGCAATATGTCTAGACTAACAGTTTTATCAATTTCTGACACTCAAATATGATATTATTAAGTTACATGGTGTCCCGATTTGGCTGATGCAGATTAGTAATTGGCAGAAGATAGGAGATGGGTGGACTTCTAATGATATGTATAAGTTATTAAATAGCCCTGCTACAAATATTTTATGCTCACACCTTTTAGTTCCAGAAAGATGAAGTCCAAGGTGATCAATACCATTCTTTGCAGATGTAGCTATAGGCTATGATAGAGTGACAGAAGTAACTTAGGTTCCCCTGAAACATCCTTTGTTATTCTGCTCAGGAAGAACTCATTCCTTCATCCAACTGTGGTCTATTTTTCAGGAAGAGACATTATCTACTTAATTTTGGAAGAGTAAAAAGTAAAGCACTGTAAAATGATGAATCTTATTTTTATATTTCAATAAACCTGATGGAATCTCAGATATGGAGTTCATGTGATCCCCATAGGTGTCTGACTTACTTTCTGCTCATATTTCACACATAAATTCATTTGTATTAGAATAGTATTGAAACTATTTACTGTGTTTCCATTAATTTTTTGCCTTTTTGGAATTTTATGAAATGTTCTGCTTAAAGCATAACTGAGAACTATTCTCACTATATGCAAAAATAATTGTGCCATTCATTAGTTTAAAGGTCTATAAAATGTATCCTTGTGAAAGATTTACAGATATTCTCCAGATTGTAGTTGATTCAGTTTATCAGTTACTTTTGAGAGAAAAATGTTACTTTCCTGGATTAAATAAATAGAGTAAAGTCTAATGGAAAAGTTTAGCCTATATCCTTAGACACTGCATTTTCCACTGAGAGAGATTATGCAAAAGAGCATTATAAATGCACTAAAATCTGACATTTAAAAGAATTTGTTATGGGCCATTATTTCTTCTAACAATGAAAACGTTGAGGCAGCAGACGTGAATAAATCAATAAATGTGCTTTTGATATAGCAGCCATGTTTTTGGTTTATTCAGCTCTATAGTTAATGCATTGGGAAAGAAACATTATTTTGAGTGATTTATAAAAATGTTTTTCTGATTATATCATTTCATTGTTTATAGATTTTGACAGCTCTAACATACTGATTCTGGTGTTATGAAACATAAATATATCTCCCCATTTGATATATTATGTTTCTTCAGATATTTGGCATCTTTGAATAAATGCATTATTACTTTCAGGTGGGAAAGGTGGAAAAAAGAAGAAAAATAAAAACTCTTCTAAACCACAGAAAAACAATGGATCGACCTGGGCCAATGTCCCTCTACCTCCTCCCCCCGTCCAGCCCCTTCCTGGTACAGAGCTGGAACACTATGCAGTGGAACAGCAAGAAAATGGGTAAAAATATTTTATACACCAACAAAATGACTAGGCCTGTGCTCTCCTCTCTATTGTTCATTTTGCCATTATCTTGCGTTCTTTTATTGTTTTCCCTGCCCCCTACCACTCTGTTCATTGCATTTTCTGCCTTTTATTGTTTGCACTGTCTATATATTTTTAGCTGATAGATACAAAACAGCACATATTGAGGACTGAGAATCCTTGGCCTTCAAGTGCTTTAGATTGTCTGCAATCATGATAATGCAGCCTCCATTTATAATATTGCTTGTTAGTCTGAAAGCAAGTACCCACAGCTCTGTGAACTAAAGAGCCACTCCTGAGAAGGGTTGAAAAGGGAATTAAAATGACCTTCTTCAACATCCTTTGCAGTTCTCTAATGACTTGATGTCTGGCCATAGCAGGGCGCCACTGTAGAGCGCCATCACAATGGGATAATTGTAGGGACCTGGCCAGTGGGTAGAACTTTAATCATCAGCTCTGA